GAGTGTTCACATAGATGAACTACAATGATGTCCCTGAAGAACACAAGAACAGGATCATAGAATCCAAGTGGGTTAACAAACCCACACAAGATGAAGTGCGATGCCGTATAGTAGCAAAAGGCTACTTGGAAACAATCCAAGACCTTGACAACATCTATGCCAGCACACCAATCTTTGGGATCTTACGCATCCTACTGACAATGGCGCAGCACAACCACTGGACAATACAAGCAGGAGATGCGTCAACAGCATTCTTGCACGCACCAGCAGCAACAGACAATCTCTACATGTGGCCACCACCAGAACTATACCCAAGTGGTCGCAACACAACCACAGTATGGAAGCTCAACAAAGCAATCTTTGGACTACGATCAAGTCCAAAATCCTGGCAGGATCACTTTGCACAAGTCCTACAACAAATGGGACTGTCTCGACTGACAAGTGAACCCAACGTGTACAGGAACAACGAACAGACAATGTTTGTGATGGTCTATGTAGATGATCTACCATTCTTGGGACAACAGCAAGAAGTCGACAAGACTTTCAAAGAAGTTCAAAAGCATGTACTACTACGACCAACCGACACATTGGGCATTGGTCAGACAATCCAATTCCTTGGCAGAGACATCCACAACAATGGAGACTTCTTTGAGGTAGGCCTCAAACCAGAATACATCACCACATTGCTGAAAGAAACAAAAATGGAAGCAAGCAATCCAGCATCAGCTCCAGGGACGGCAACCCTGAAACAATCCACAAACGATGAAGCACCTTTAGATGCACAAGAACACGCAGACTACAGGAGAGCAGTAGGAAAGCTTCAATGGCTGACCTACACAAGACCAGACATCAGCTTTGCAACAAAAGAACTGGCACGAGACCTACAACAACCGACGCAACAAAGCCTACGCACCGTGAAACATCTCTTATGATACCTCAGGGGAACACAACACTACAAAATGATCCTGAGGACAACACATACACCACAAACAAAGGAACCCATCAACCTCAACATGTTATGTCGATGCGGACTGGGCGGGATGCCCAAGCACAAGAAAATCAACAAGTGGATTCATCGTGACAATGATGGGATCTTGGAAGCAGAACACAAGCAGTAGTAGCACTATCATCAGCAGTATCAGAGCTTTATGCAGTTGGCACAGGAGCGCAAGAAGGACTACATATAGCAAACTTCATCAAGGAAGCAACAACAACAAGGGTGAACATCCGCATACACACCGACAGCGCAAGCGGCAAGAGCATAACAACAAGAATTGGCTCATCAAAGAAAGCAAAGCACATTGATCTAAAATACCTTTTCATACAACAACTGGTACAAAGCGGGATCCTATCAATACACAAGATAAGCACACATGACAACCCAGCAGACATACTGACAAAGTATGTCCCGGCAGAGGTGCTTAACACACACCTCTACATGGCGGGCATTCAATGCCCACAACATCACAACTGAACAACGGCAGTACAAACAGTTTCACAACCATGGCAGCATCTATGCGTGCACAATACACACGCGGGGGCATCAAGCCATGGCATGTGCATACTATGTCATAGACAATATGTACTACAAGATCTTTAGTCTCACAATGGGCCCGACTTTCCTTTCCGTCGTTTCGGAGAACAATTCGATGAACAATGTGTTTGAAGTTTTGCTTTCTGAATTTGAAAGACAATGCATGTTTGGTTGACAATTTGTCGGCAACTTTTTTGACCGCAGCCGCTTCCAAGCTCACAAGCTGTGACAACTGGAGTCGACCTTCGCGAACAATTTCAAGAGCATCAATGGCAGGTGAGATGACAGTTCCCGACTACCACAATCAGCGCAGGTTGCCAAACAACTCGACAATCTCGCTGTGGGAAGACAGGGCGATCATCTACAATGAGGACAAGATTGAAAGCAAGATCCTGCAGCCCTCGAATTACAAGGACAACGCTGCCTGGGCCGATGTCCTAGACAATGTCACGACCTACTGGTTCGCAGCTGTCACAATGGCAGAATATACAAACATGTTGAATGAAAACAATGAGACGACAAGCTACCAGGCTAGCTGCGCAAACCGGGGAATTGGGAACAATTCATTATGGTTCCCACAACGGAGGAAGCAATTCAGTGGCTCGCTTACCACCAATCGATGAGCCACACAATGACGAGCGAAGAGACAATCGTTTTGGCAATAGCCTTTGATTCACACAACATGGTGCATCACATGTCGCAAAAGATGCTGACATCATTCCAGCGAGGATACAGCGTACAAGTCCTACAAGTCCATGCGCCCTATGACTATAATTTCACGGAAGCAGAAAAGAACAATCTGCGGGCGCTCTACTTGAACTACAATGCGGCCAACAAATTCGACAAGTACAACTGGGCGAACGGATGGATTTGGAACTATGGCCACACAATGCATGTGAGGTCAATGCTGACCATCTCGGAGGATTCCCCTCACCATACAATCTTCGGGATGGCTTTGGCACATCTTGGACAATTTGGCCGGTCCCAGCTCCCGCCAGATGTACAATTGGCCCTTGGAGTGTACAAGGCGGACAAGAAGATCGATACCTACCATGTGACAATCCCAAAGAGGCACCAGCGAGGACACCCGGAACATAGCTCCTACATCAAGGAGCGCGACAGGACAATTGTCCAGGAGAAGTCTGAGGACGAGGAAGAAGAAACGTGGACAAAACGTCCCAGACAATCCTCAGAAGCTCTAGAGAGCCAGATGGATGACATGGAGAGTTGAGACAATGTCTCAACAATCTGCAAATCTCAGCTGTGACAATGTCATACGAGCACAACGATGAGAAGGGCAACAACGCTGGAAGGAAAGACAAGGCAGAAGAACATGTACAGACTTGCCTACAATGCCTGAACTGTTTTATGTACAATAATGTTTACTTCAGTTTCAACAATGTTTGTAGTGATGGTGTGATTCCACAATGAATCAAACCAAGGGACGGTGTCAAGATACTATTCTTTTACAATAGCATACTTACTCTGTCGTATTGCTCATGTACAATTGCTTGGTGCTATACAATGCACCTTGGATCGAGAGGCCTTGAGCCTAAGGACAGTTGCCAAGAGGAAAACAATACAGAGACGTGCACAAACAAACGACAAACAAACAGCTGCTGAATTTTACGAGAGAGAGAGAGAGAAAGAGAGCAGGGCGAGCGCGCGCGCTCGTGTGCTATGGACGGCTTACTGGGCTCTTGTCCTCCTCTTGTCCTTGTCCTCCTCTTGTCCTTGTCTTGGCCGCGCCCCTGAACTCTGTGGCTGGGCTCTGTGTCCGCGTCTTGTCCTCCTCTTGTCCTTGTCTTGGCCGCGCCCCTGAACTCTGTGGCTGGTCTCTGTGGCCCGGCTTACTGGAGAGGAGTGTGGCCGAACAAATAGCGATGTCAACGCCGACAAAAATTCATTGATAAAGCAGTCTGCTCTTGGGGTGAAAGTAGGGCGTACCAAGAGATCCATGTTTGACTAATATTGGTCTAAACGAATCGTTTTGAAGCTGCTTGGGGTCTGTGCTTGTATAATTTGGTGGCGTCGGGGTTGTGATTCTTTTGCCTTTGTTTGGGCTCAAGGGAGACAGTCCCGAGATGTTACCAGAAAGAAACAACGCAGGCTACCATTGAAAAACAAAACAGACTTGAAAGCAATGGCGTGGTGGCTTTACTGGCCATAAGTTTGCTTTATGGGTTCTGCTGATTGCGCGTGGGGCTGCTGACTTGATTCTCCTGGCATAGTGTACTCCTCAGCAATCCAGAGCAGAAAAAGGATCCTTGCGGTTTTTGCAAAGGATTTTACACATCTGAGATTGGTAGATAGATGTCCCCTTTGAGAATGATCATAGGATGCTACACAGAGGGTAGCAAAAGGGAGGTAGCAAAGGGGAAAATCTCAATCAAGGTTCATTGAGGAGTCTACAGCAAATTCGAGTGAGATTGAGAAGGGTCTAGATAGAAACACTCAGTAAAATTGAGAAGACATGACTGCGCACATCCTCTGCCTTTTCTCTGCTCGGTTTTCGAGTTCTGTATTGTGGTGAAACTGCTTGACTCACTTCTTGTTTTTCTCATGCAATTCTCTGGTGAGCAAAGCCGTCACCCTATCCTGGATCACTGCCCTTGAAGGAATGACCCAATTCGATCCATTTGCATTCCTCCAGTCTTTGAAGTGCACCTTCAGCGCAAGCTGAACGAATTCCAGCACAGTGTGGGCAGCCGACTCTTTTGGCCCGACTCCACAAAATGCGGGCCGCGATGCTGTCTTAGTCCTTTGAAATCCTGAGCCCTGCAAACTGGTGAATTCAATGGTAATGCTCCTGTCATTGGGGAGCCATCCTTTACCTCTCATCCTCTTGAACAGCATCGATTTTTTCCTCTTTGCTGTCCCCCTTTTGCCCCCCCTAGCACCCTAGGAAAGCAGGTCCGGAAATGCATTTACAACTACTGTTAGGTTTTGATTCTCGACTAAGGGATGTTGGTTTTACGTGTTTTGCGAGGCCCAAACTCAGATTCTATAAGGACAACACACGGGTAGGCGTGATAAGTTATAGAATTGCTATGCTATACCCGGGTGACTGGTTGAGTTTCAAAAAGGAACCCTCAAGGCCTTTGTGGTAGCAGGGATACATGATTACATTGATTGTTATGGGGAATGGTTTCCTTGATGTTTTTTGTTTCTGCGAATCTCGTCGAATCCATAGAGTTCTTTGAATCCTTTACTAAAGATTTGCTGCAAAAATTGAATAGGGAAGGGTTGATATGTGTTGTTGTTTCTAAGATATCCATCAAATTAACAAGTGAGAGCTTCGAACGGGCACGGTTTATACGGCAGGTGATTGGGATTTCCTGTATGCCCTGGAAACAATGACTTGGGAGTCAGCAAAAAGTGTTGGAAATCAAGTTGCTTGGAGCCAGACAAATGGAGTAGTATCGGCCAGTTTTTGTGGCCAATACCGATACCTTCGGAAACGCAGGCTCAACGACCTCCCGAAGCACTTGCAGTATCTGCTGATGCTTTGTTGAGCAGAGGGACTTGGGCAGTCATGAAAAGAGTCACTTTGCTGATTGTTCCCCACAAGGGCCTAGAGAGGTCTCAAGCCCCAAATATATATATATATAGAGAGAGAGAGAGAAAGATGAGAAAGCTATAGATATATATTTTTTATCAAAGAAAGTTTAGAAGGAACTTCCGTGTTACGAACATTTACATCACTCATCATACACCACTCATCATACACCACTCAATATACACCACTCAATCTACACATCACTCATCATACATCATCATACACCACTCATCATACACCACTCATCATCCAGTTAGCTCTAGTTTCAAGAGCTCTAGCTCCAGTTAGCTCTAGTTTCAAGAGCTCTAGCTCCAGGTAGCTCTAGTTTCAATAGCTCAAGCTCCAGTTAGCTCTAGTTTCAAGAGCTCTAGCTCCAGTTTGCGTGGCAGGCGCAGTTGTGGACCTCCATGTGCAGATTTCGTGGCAGGCACAGCACTTTGTGAACCTCCATGTGCAGA